CCAGTGGTTTTGTAGAAAATCTCTTGCAATTGCTAAGAACATTCTCATCTCTGCATCTTTCCCAGATGGTGCAGAGGCAGAGAGCTGCAGCAAGGATATCTTTAATAAATTGCAGGTTATGTATGCACACAAATAATATAGTGCCAGATTATGAATCTTGCATATGTTCGTATGCAAAAAGCCCAGAGTTTGCTTTGGAACGGAAACAAGCCTCGGTGGTCAAACACCCTGCTAAGTCTTCTTTCCTCCCAGGATTCAAGCGTGCATTAGAAACTGCAAAAACTAGGGAACATATTTCCTTTTCTCAACTGCTCACAATATTGCCCTTGGCACCCCAACAGCCCAAGACACATTAATAGAGATTCTAAAAATAGTCTCAGAAATATTAGCATTTTTTTCACATTTCCTATGCAGATATTCCCTACGCCGCACAATGTACCTGAGACCAACATATGACCACCGCACACTGCCCCACCTGCTCCCAGCATCCTCTTGACCAGAAAGCACTCCTACTACTAAATTGCCCTCAGCTGTGATTAGATGACTTTGATCAATGACACACAGGGTATGGTTTTCTTCTTCAAGCAACATTTGCAGTCAGCTTGTGGTTTCCCTGTGTTTGTTCAAGTTTATGCAGACTATGAGTTATTTTTACCTACGTGGAATAATCACAGATAGCTGAAAATATTTGAGATGTGAGATCTTCACTGCAACCAGCCAAGTTGTTCTTTCTGTTCCGACAAGTTAGCCCTCACTTAACAAAAGTATTTCAGAACTGGAACAGCACAGAAAAGGACAGTTTTGGATCTTTTCCTGAAACACTTGGACTGACGTTATCTAGCAATTCCTATAAAATTAGGCTACTGCACCGTACCTTTGCTGAGTGCCATTTGAGCTTGTTTTTCAGTTACTACTTTCCATAAGCACACTGATTTCTGAAATGTTTGGTTAGCTCTCTCCCTAATGTATTTACTTGTCTCTGACATGGGTGGCTGAGACACAGCTGGAGTTCTATCCAATTTCATTGTCTATAAAATAAACCATTAATTTGTAAGCATTAATAAGCACACCATCTATCAGGGAGTGCGTACTCATGGTGACCTGGGGGGACTCTCCACCAGTGGTGCCTCTGAAGTCAGACATTTGTCCCACTTTTGCAAGAGCAACATCTTTATGGCTCTTCAGATTGCAACACTGCACTGAGACCATCTTGAGTCACCTTGAAGTTACTATTCCAAACCAGTAAGAAGTGCAAAAACTGAATTTAGAAAATGAATACAAAGAGAAGCAACAGACAGGAGGACACAAGAGTTGTGACTTAGTAAAAAAATTCATTTCCTAACTAAAACTGACAATTCAGAATTGAACTGCATGTATTTTGTTAACTTGAGCACAGCTGATTAATGTGTGTGCAATTTAACTTTTACATACCATCAATTATAAAACTATAGTTGAACGTTTGACAGAACAAATGCTACAGACAAGCAATTTGTTTTGTAAATCAATACAATGCTAGTTGCATTTAATAGGCAAAGGAACAGAGTGCCTTACATATGCTTTTTTATATGTACATCTGTGCTTAAACAACCCTCAGTTTTGCTCATGGCTATTCTACAGTCTTGTCTAAAAGCTGGTAAAGCCATTATTGCCAAAGAAATCTTGAAGAAGTAATTAACAAATAATGCCCAAACCTACCTTCATTTTGCTAACACAGTCTTACTGAAAAATATGCATGCAAATAAACCACAATCATCGCTTAATACAAACAGCAACCTATGATACCACAGACTGTCTTCAAGTTAGACAGGGCATTAGGCTTTTAAAACCATTAAACATTTCTTCTAACTCCAAATGGGCTCCACCTTGGTGCTTTGCTTCCAGACTGAAATGATTTGCAACTATTCAGAGAAGTGAGGCTCTAGGACCATTGCTGCACTCCTGGAAACAGAAATGTTTGAGCAAAGGTGAGGAGGTCAGACAAGGGCAAAGTCCAAAGTAATTTTAAGTGGTTCAGCTAAGTAGGGAAAGCTAATGGGAAACCATTTTAATTTATTACAGTCATCCCTTGTGAATAAAAGGACAACGTTTTTCTTCAGGAGCTTGATTACATAGCAGTAAATCCCTCTGTGTATATAAAAGACCTATGGACAGTATAGATCAAATGTCAGAAATAGGTTTGCACTTTATGTTAGACGTGGGAGAAAATACTAGAGTTGGGAATAGTTTTAGATACTCAATCTTTTTAAAAAATATTTCCAAGATATATGAAAAAATGTGTATTTTATTCTGCCATGCCCATCTACAAAGACATTAAGTAATGCTGTCTTTGCAATACACTTTTTTGGACCTTCCCTCTCCAAAAAAACCCAAGCCAGAAACATGTTTTTGAATATAAAATCATGTTCACATTCTCTTCTCTCCCCAGCACTTTCTGCTTCTTTTGCTAGTAATAAATGCTGCTTTAAATATTGGCTCTAATCTCTGCTTCATAGAATCCAGACAGAAGTAAACAAGCAAACAACGCACAGTTCAAGGTGACAATAATGTCAGAAAAAGGCATCTTAAAGTAAGACTAATACCAGGAAAGGATTTTCTCTAATAGCATACAGGGCTTTTTTCAGCATTTCAAATTGTTTTGTTTTGTTTTTTTTTTTTTCCCTAAGTAATTGCTAATTCTGATGGATATATGTGCATAAGTGCAACTAATAATTATTTCATTGTACTGGTCTGAGACGGAACTGGAAAACATTTATGATGGTGAAAATTGCAGCCACTCAGCCCAAGATTCGTATTGAAAAAAAGATTTGTTTAATCAGAAGCAGGATTTCTAGGTTATGGAGTAGAATGTTTCAGCAGTGAGGAATTACTGAGCTGCCTCAAAGCAGGCAAAAAAACAAATCTTTGGCTTAGGTAGTAACACAATCATTACCTGTCCATGGCAATTTTGTATCTTGTGCATACCCTGTTTTTCCACACACTTTCCTGAAGTCATGAGAAATGAATACTCTGAGGCAGGCAGTGCTTCAGTTCCATACAGTATGGGGCTGGGTCCTTCTCTGCTGCTGCAGTACAACAGCCACCAAATACCGCCTGAAGCATGAAACAGCTTTCAAAGTAGTTTCAGTAAAGCTTGTTTTGTCCCCTCTAATTTTCAGAAACCTCGTCCTGGGTTTTGATGCCATCCTACAACACTGGAAACTACTGGGAGATCAATCCTGACAGTGCTCAGGGACTACATCATGTTACACAACATCTCAGCACATGCAACAACGAACAAGAGGCCTTTGCAGAGGTCTGGGGACAAAATTAACTTTACCAAAAGCTCAGTTATAGGGCAGTAATGCTTCTCGTGAGCATCATTCATCTACTTAAGGGCAAAATGTAGCCACTGTTGGCACCTTTACTACATATTGCATACTGCTTCATCAGACACTCATTTCCATACTTCTTGACTCCACTGCCTTGAGCTAATGCTGCTGTTTGAACTCTTAGCCACGTTTGGTAAAGATTAGAGCGCCTTCAACGAACCTTCCCATACAGTAGCAAACAGACACTGCTGCAGGTACAGTGTAATTGCTAAACATGTTGAATTTTTAACTTTCAATGCCTTTATCATCACTTAAGAACTTTATGGCAGTTTAGACAGGTTGATATTGACTCCTGCCAAAGCAGGCTCTAATGTTTGTGCTCTGTCTGCCCACAACACTTCCTGTCATTTCTATTGGCTAAATATTCCTTTCTGTGGTTTTGCAAAGTGCCCTTCCCTGCTGAGGACTATACGACAATGGTTGAGTTTCATCTCATCTATGGTTTTTTTGAGCTCATGGGGAGCAAAGGGAGAGGAAGAACAACGAGGGATGGGACCCAAAGCTAAACAAAGCTTCTTTGATCCTTTTGGGATCAAGATGCTGTTAAAACACACGATTAGTAGAACTGTGAATTTATTGGGACGGAATTGGTTACTGTCACTGTACTTCAGCACAAACTTACATTATGATTGTAAGTACAAAGTGTTCATTCTGTTTGTGGCTACGAGAATTAATCTTTTCCATGTGCAGAGAGGCTGCGCGATAATTTAACTGAGATTCCTGTTGGTAGTTTGGGCAAGCACTCATCAGCTGCAGGGCTTTCAACAATACATGAGCAGCAGCTCCAAGAGAAAATGATGTAATTAATGCATCTGAGAGCTACCAAGCAGGACTGGAGTGGTCTGCTCGTTTCAGGGTTTTCTTCCAAGTAGGTTGTCAAAAATCTTGAAACTAAAAGGTGAGTTTCTCCCAAAACACTTCAAATACTTAACTTTGGACAGGATCCAATAACTAATGGATTCTGAATGAAATTGTATGCTTCTAATATCTTACACTGGCCTCAATAATAAGAAAAGGTCTGATCCTCATTATTAAAAGTGAAAAAGTAATTTGGAATGTTTACGCGGATGGCAGCTTTATACGCAGGATAGAAGTGCTCCAACTGCATTTTCAATCCAGCTGGAACTGAGTTTTCCTTTTTCTTTTTTTCATGAAATTTCATTTAATATGAGTACTATGTCTTAGTAAGGCAGCTGTTGGCAGCAAGCTGTGAAATTAAAGTTGAGCTGGTTATTATTAAGAGCCAAGACATAATATACTTTTGTCAGAGAGAAGTTTTTCTTGTAGATATGTAACCTATATTCAGTAATTAAAGTAGCTAGTCAGTCAACCTCACTTGGTGGGAAAATTAATCCTAATTTAAAATATAATTTCCAAGTTGTATAAATTGCAACCAAAAATGGGATTGCTATAGCTCATTTCAGTGAGGTTTTTAAGCATCCAAAGCACCAGTGATTTCAGAAACACAGGAATTAAGGACTCCTAATTCTCACGGCTGTTCTACTAAGATGTGTGGGACTTTGAGGAAGGCACTTCTGATAAGATCCCAAACGGGAATGAAATCAGGATCCTTCTATTTACTATTATCCACTGAAAATTTTTCTCTCAGCCTGTGCCTGGAGGGAATCATACCTGTCTTCTTCCCGCTGCAGCAAATGCTTTTATAATTTCAAGATGTAAACATGACCTTCCTCCAGCTTCTCTTCAAAGAAAGCAGTGGTAACTTTCACATCTTGCTCAGAATCTCCTCTGGGATATGCCAAGATGCACATTTCAAAAACATCTGCCCAAAGGTGTTCTCAGGAAGAAGGAACAGAACAGGACTTCGCACATTAGAAATCCAAGCCAGGTAAGTAATGTAAGTTTATATATTAACATATTATTACATCATTATCTATATTTATTTATATACTAAAGCATTGAGCTGATTAATCCTCATCAGTTAAGCTGACTACACTTTGTAAATTCATTTATTTCCCAAACTGTTTGCCTTGAAGTTCAGTTATCAAGGGTAGCAGCGAAACTGCACTATCATTCATCTCAGCATTTGACCAGCTTCAAGTAACTGTAAAAACCAAAGATCTTGCATCTGACCAAAGATACAACACTAGTTTCTCCTTTCTTCAGACACAGGCTCCTGCGGACTTCTGCAGCCGCATGAATCCACTGTCAGCCAGAAGAGCAGCTGGCTTTTTTCCTGGTTTTCTTTGCAGCTAGATCAGTGAGCTGCTCTGCCTCACAGCATGATTGGTACATCAGCACAGGGAAGGAGAAACAAACACAGCAAGGCTGAGGTCACCCCTTTTGATGTCATGGCAGCTCTCAACTTAATCCAGTCTTGATACCATACCTGCAGTCTACTAACACAACTGCTAATAGAGACAGCCTCACTGCTCACAAGGTGACCATTCTAATGCATCCTAATGGTCTAATGACCATTCAAGTAGGACACTGTAACTAAATCACTTCTCTACTTAAGTGACAGCTACTTTTACTTCCCTGGAAACATGCAGACTTTGAGTCAGCAATTCTTGAATCTATGTTGGGTATTTGTACCTCAGTCCTTTCTGCAGGGGGACATAACTACTTTGCAGGTGTACTTCAGGTCATGCATTCACCTTAGCAGTTGACTAATGCACTTAGAGAGAGCCAAAAAGCTGTACTAGATATCGAGAAAATGAAACAAGAATTAGTGGGGATTGCTCACGGGTGTTTAGTATCAGTGAACGTAGTGGCTGGCTACAGAGTACATGTAAGCATCTCATCTTAGATGCTGCCAACAGCTAGACTTCCATCAGCTCAGCTGCTACATAGAAGAAAGGAGAAAAAGATTTTCTCATCAGGCAAGTGGCCATTGTCATCTTTATTTTAAAGAAGAAATCTTGGCAGGTTTTTCACCACACAGTTCTTTAACTGTAGAGCTTTTAATGGATAAGAATAGGGTTTTCCTCTTGTGAGATTACATGCATTGTTAAAGACAATTGGATCACATCTCTTCTGTATAAAAAAAAAACACACAACTTACTTGTCAATATCTGTAGAGCTAAAATCCTCAGATCAAAAATATACTTAGGATGTCCGTGAAAGCTGAGAGCCATCATTCTACAAGTATTACCTTGAAATACAAACTCATAGCAATATAAAAACACAAGGCTGGCATGAAATTGGAATGAGAATAAAAGAATACATGAATCACACGCACAACTAATTAAACATGAAAACTGACTTTACAGCCACTTACCTTCACCATTGTACATTAACACTGAACAGAACAAATTTGAGCAGCATATTTTGGACATTTACAATCTGGAAGAAATATTTCTTTTAAACTCGTGTCAGGATAATACAGTTTCTTTTCCAAGGTCTCATGATTTCAGGCCTTCCTAACAGAAGTGAAAAGTGGTTAGGATTGAACACAAGGCTTGGATGACAGCACTTAAATGAGCCTGGAAATCTTCAAATTTACAGTGTCAGGGATAGCTGAGTAACTTTTAGGCTAAGATCTCAGTGCAAAGCTTACCTGTATTCAGTAAACTTGCAAGTTAAAGCAGTCAAATTTTGGCTTCCCTTTTTCATATGCAAAAATCCAACCTCTTCATCAATCACTGTCAGGGACCATCTGAAAAAAGCCTCCACAAGTCACATCCCTGTTATTTCTTCTTTACTAATATTTGATTTGTGGATTATAATACAAGCTGTACCTACTGAGGTCAGAGGTCATTAGAGTGTATAAACCATTTGAGACACTACAAAAAAACAAAAACAAAAGACCAACCAGATACAACTTAAGGCATGATTTTCAGTAACTCTGAAAAAAAGCCCAATATGCATTACCCTTTAGGAGTAGATGCCAAGAAAAATCTCAGAAGTTCATGTTCCAGTGACCACAAGATTGCAAGTTCCATACTGTTTCTTCTGGTAATGGTATTTGCACCAAACACAGAAAGCATCCATTTGAGGAAGGACAGAGAGCATCATGTTGGCACAACAAAACCCTTTCATTAAGGAGACATCTGTGGCCCTTAATAGCACGTCTGCCATGGGAGGCAGCACCTCGCTAGATTGGATTTCAAACCAAGTTCTGCTTGAGGTGTTGAGCAAAAGAGAATTGGCTGCAAGAAGGATAACACAAGACTAGAAGGTTTTGTTTACCGTAGAATTAAAGGCCCACTGCACAATTAACAAAAGACAACCAGTCTGTCTGTGGAATGGCAGACAATATTTTGGGCAAGAGTTTGGCTTGCCAGAATAAGTGTAAGAATGCTTACTTAAAGCTCTCTCCTGAACCCACTGCCATTCAAACAACTTTTCTAACTTACTTCCCTGGATGAAAGCGTGAATGTAAGGCTCTTGAGAAAAAGAGAGAAGACTCCAAAAATGTTGGTTTGCCAACACAGCAGCTGGGTCTCTTAACACCTGCTGACACGGTAACACCACTTGGTCATCTTCACATGCTACAGGTTAAGCTTTCAGCAAGATCTCTCTCAACGTAAACCCTCTTCCTTTGCAAAGAGCAGGATCCTCGCCCTTCTCATTCACCTGGAAAAAGCACCCCTCGTAGAAACGGCACTTAAAGGATCCAGTCCCTACAGATCAGGAAAGCACAGGTCCAATTTTCTGTGCAGGACCACTGTGCCCACAGGATGTTTGGCATTAGCTCAGAGACTTCTGAGAAGGTGGGACCTAATTTTAGGTTCCGTCGCCTCTTACCTCAGGTGGGACACAGGAGAAGCAGAGCAGCCTCCTTTGTCAGCCTTCTCTTTCCCTCCCTGTCGCCACCTCAAACCAGCAGCAACCCCCGCAGGACGAGAAAAAGGGCGGGAAACAGCGCTGTGGTGAGCGCGGGAGGAGGAACGGCGCGGCGCTCCTGACAGGAGGCACCGCCCATGGACAGGGCCAGCGCCCACCCTAAGTACAGAAATGTTTCTTGGTCACCCGTGCCTTACTTCCTCGTGATCTGAGTGACGAATATATTAAAACTGGAAGAAACATAGCAAAATCAATCATTTCTTTCCAATAATCTGCTTCTGACAAAATACAAGTCTCCAAATAGTTGCAGAACAGCTACTATTAAAACTCGATCTCCAGCAAGAAACAGAGAACTGTGTGAACACGGCGTGGGAGCTGCAGGACAGCAGGGCTTCCACTGCTGCTTGAACACTGTTACCACAAAGTGGTCATGAATGTTGCTTCTTACACGTATGCCTCCTGGTGCAGCATTCACCACTGCTTCCTACGCCTAACTTGCTGCAGTCCTGACACTGAATTGCCGCTTCTGTCATAGACAATTGCCAAGCACAGAGCCAGCCCACAGCTCCCTGAGCGAGCTGTTCGTTTGGATTAAATGCAGGGGAAGAATAAAACAGAAAGCCTTAGAGAAGCAGAGCTGCTGCTGCATATGAGAGCATCCAGTCCTGTAGTGGAAACCATACCGTTATTGCAACACTTGCACTGGTAAAACACACACAGCAGAGCTCGCTGGCACAGCTGCACACTTCACTGCCACAGCCAATTGCCTATGTCCTGTTTCTAAAGCTGGTTGTAAGTACATGTCTTCTATCCAGCTTTCTCATTCTTGTTTTTCTGTGTCTGTTTTAACACGACGTGAGCGCAGAGGAGCACTCTCTCCTAGTACTGCGGCTGCTCACAGTCCCCCTTCCTTACTTACACTGTCATGAAACCACAGTTCTGGAAGGATGGGAACTAAACCAAGGATTTGTTATTGCAGCAGAGGGATGACACCAGACATGCAAATTTCTGGACACCAGAATTGTTCTCTGCTGGCAAAAGGGACTTGTTAAGACTGATGTAACAGAGATGCTTAGTCATTGGGGTTGAGCTGTCAGTAGATGCAGATATTCTCTAGCAGTATTCTTTTAAACTGTGCTACATCTTGGGTGCAAGTCATCGAACACAGTGACAAAGTATAAAAGACATCAGTAAGCTGTGCCTTTAAAAAAAGAAACTGAACAACACGACAATACAGTTCCTCCTCAGACAGAATGCAGTACGTGCACTTTGGGGAGAACTGAACGTCAGTCAGGGCATTACTTCTTGCCAGGGCTCCTCCTCTGGAGCCATATCGAGTGACTTTCCTCCTTGAACATGTCCTAATGAATACCTCTGTAGCCTTCACGTAAAATCCTTCCCCAATCGTTTTGCCCTGATGGATAGCTTTAGAGCCTTCCTTCACACAGCTTCAGCTGCTTTCCAGACCTTTATTTTTCTCCTTTTTCTAAGTGTCTGCTACAGGAAGTTGCACTCGGCTCTTTTACCGTATGTTTCTCTCAAAACTGACATCTTTGCGTTGTAATGAAGGAACCCCTGAGTATTAGTGACAAATTAGTCACCAGCTAAAGACTACTTTCTTTTTATTTCTATACCAGGTGGAAGATATTAAAATCTCAAGACGAATTTCTCCTACTGTGCTACAATAAATCATCCCCCAGTTGTTTAAGTGACTTAATTTTGCTAGCCTTAAAACTCAAAAATAAAAATCCCCAAACTCTGTTAATAAAGAAGTAAAATAGTGTTGCAGACTTCATCAAAGAGACACCAATGTTGAAGTACCATAAGGAACATATTTTATTTCCTATGTTTATATTAAAAATGAATGTTATCTTTTAAAGATGAATCTCCTTCCCAAGAACAAAATATCCTATTTGATAGTTAGAAGCATCACATTAAAAAGTTAGCAAAAATCTTTTTCCTTTGTTGTTTAATTATCTAACTTAATACAGAACAATACTTTCAGTGTCTACAAAAGGTACTGTACAGTCTCTAAGGAAATGTGAAATGGTGATGTTCTTTGTTGAGGAACTTGTGAAGAAGCAGCAAAAAAATAACCTTAGGTCATAGTTTGCTGAAGTCACAGCAATACACCAATAAATAAATAGTGAAAAACTAATGAAGACCGAAATTTGCCTTTTTTCTTTTTCTCTTTTTTTCTACAAAGAGCTCACAGTAGTATTTTAATAGCTATGTGCTTACTAAGAAGGTGATAACTCACAATATTAACTTCATAACTGCAGACTGACAGTTTCATATTTTACAACACAGATAAACTTCTATGATTATAAATAATGTTATACATGAGTGGCTCACTCAGAACTTGTAATTCAATGGCTTCACAGTTACATGCTCTTAACCATCAGTAGCCTATTAAATAACCCAGGTAGTGAAAGAATTCCTTTTACAACTGAAAGCAGCACCAAGACCAAGATGTAAAATCAGCCCTGCCCCATCAGCAAGAGAAAGGAAGCAGCATCTATCAATAAATACAGAACACCAAGTCTACATGCAATTGTCTCTTCCACCATTTGCCAAAGAAAAAAATGAGGAGTGGAAGATCAATTAAAAAGCAGAAATATAAAACCAAAGCATTAAAGACGACGAGATATTTAAGATCCCACAGCGCTTCTTACAAGTGCGGTGCATCACTCCCCCGCTTCTCCCGGGGGAGTTCCAGCTCTGATAATTACTTTCTGCCTGCTCACAAAGTTCAAGTTCAAAATAATATTCGTTTTCCACTTCCTATCCTAAACCAGGGCACGATGCTTCTGTGCACTGTTAAGCAACCATCCCACTTTGCAAACAGATAAACTGCCGTTGTAATTGAATAATCCTGATTTGTGGCAGCAGGGATAGGGGGAAGAAGCAGTACTAGTATGTAGGAAGGAAAACACCCGATTCTAACATCAACGCATCCTACTTCCAGCAGTAGCATCCTTTATTACTTTCTATTCTAAACCATCGTCTCCACCCCTTACCCCCAACCCTGCAGGGGGATATAAGTGTTGTCTCAAATCCAGCTCATAAGTTTTACAAGATCTCAAATATTTTATAGAAAACTCAGTTTGTTTCCCTAGTCTCTCATCCCAGTCATTTCTCTTTCTCAAATTATCCGAATCCGCCGCAGCAAACAGGAGGGATGGTTGCCAAACAAACAAAATTAAATCATATGCTAAAGGTAAATATGGATTTTTTCAAATTACCGCCTAAAATTTTCAGGTGCAGAAGCACTGAAGAGGGAAATTCATTTTAAGGAGAGACAGCAAACGTCTGTCAAAGTTTCTGAACAGAAGAGCCTTGCATTGCCTTGTACACATATTTGTAGCACTGCTGAAGGATGGTGCGTTTTAGGTCAGAAACCTAAGTTTGATTTTTATTCAAAGAGTACTGAATTTTATTACAAACTAGATTCCTCTAAAGTAGACATTTACACAACAGTCTACAAACATTAAACAGAATTAGAATCTTGCTTATTTTATAGCAGTAAATAAAAATAACTGGTGCCTGCCTTATTTTGCTGCTAAAGAGATAGCTCCACCAACACCCCCAGGAGCATTAGGTCATAGAAGATGTTGGATGGAATCAAATCACTGCAAAGGTCTCTGTGTGCAGGAGGTTCCATCTGCTGTTACGGCCAGGGCTGCGGCACCTCCTGCCTGGGGAGCTGTACGGCTTCCACTGGATCTGGATTTCTTCACTTTTGCTAACTGCTGCAAAAGACCTTTGCCAAGTTGCTAATAAGGCCTATGAGTGCAGATAGCACAGAGACATGGCAATTCCTGCTCCTGTTTTGCAAGGCTTGGACGCTAGAGAAGTCAGTCTGACTTCCACTGACAGCCTTTACAACTGGAAACTTTTTAAAAAAATACACTTATGCAACAGATACAGAAGATTTAAAACTGTTCCCTCTCAATAGGGGACATTCCTTATTTAAATGAGATGACTGAAAACCAGGGAGATTAGGACCAGATCTAGCATATATTTGCCCACAGTTAAGCACAGTGAAAGAGATGATTTATTTTGCTACAAGCATTAAAGCTGACTCACTCCTAATTCTACATCTCAGTGGAGAGGTGGAGTATCAATTTGGCACTTTACAAAAGAGTTTAATAAATAAAAAAAAAAAAAAAATGTTTTATAAAACCAAATAGTATTTTTTTTTTTTTTTTAAAGTAAAAATTTGGACACAGCCAATAAAATGTTCAAAGGCTTTACTTACAAAAGTATTACATGTCATTCAAAAAAATCTGTGCTTTTTAGTTTGATAAAGGATGGATAAACAACATCTCTTTTCAAATAAAAACTATTGCTCAATTCTAAAAAAAACCTAAAATATTTCAGCTGTTTCAGCCACAAAAATTGAAAGAAAAATGCATTTGCATAGCAGTGCTTCAGCTGAAGTTAACATGATCAGTATTTACTGGAAGTGAAGCATTTTGTAAGTACATCTGGACTTTAATTAAAATCTTAAATAATCGTTAGGGAGTTACAATTAAACTCTAATGATGGCAATCCAGTACAGAGGCACAGTCACAAGGGGAATCAGAACTGGTGATACAGATCTACATTCAAAACTGATCAAAGTTATTTCAAAGCAGTTGTAGGACAATGAAACGGCAAAAAACTGAATCAAGCATTTCATCAAAAGATAGAACTTGCAATAGATGCGAAACTTGCCTTTAAGACAGCTGATGAGGATCTCTGCGTGGTGCACGGACTAAGCTGTAAATAACAGGGGCCCTGAGAACACTTTGCT